TGTCCAGTACTAACCTGTGAAGTTGGCGCCTTGATGCAGGTACCTCGAAGATGGAGCTGGAGCTATGGCGCCACAGGTAAGTACCGCTGCCCTCCACCAGCCATCTCTCTCCAACACTACCACTACCAGCTACTAGCGCCCTGCGCTGAAGACTACTCCTGCAGCTATGAGCGCCCAGCGCTGAAGACTACTGGTACGCTAACTACTACTTGCAGCGCTCCTCCTGAGTGCTGCAGCTGAATCCTGAAGACTACTCGTGCCTATTGTCCAACTACCTACCCGTGAAGTGCATGGGAACTTCCTATGTACTACTCGGGTACATCCTGGCTGCAGGCGAGGTAGTCCAGGAGGCTGCTCTTGCCAATGCCGAAGGCAGTCAGGGGCTGCCGCTGCAGCTCCTGCTGGAGGCTGTCGTGGGGAACAGGCCAGAAATAGCCTGTTCCCAAAACCCTGTTTTTGTGCCTGAGTCTTAGGGTAGGTCGATCTTATGAGGGCCCGAAAGTGGCCCTCCGTTTCAGGCTGAAAAGCCTCAGGGCTGAAAAGCCCTGTTTTAGGCTGAAACGACATAGGGCCTGCAGGCCCTCATTTTTCAGTCTTTCAGGCTGAAACGACGGGGGCCTGTAAGCCCTTATTTCTAGGCTTTTAGGCTGGAAATGCGGGACGGGCCTTGCAGGCCCGTGTGGCTACGCAGTATGCCACACCCCCCCCTCCTTGAAAGACCAAGCTTACCTGCGAGGGCGAAGCTGTCTGTCTGAGAAGGGGACCACAGTCCGGGTGGGAGGGGCAGGTCGTGAAGGTCCTTGAGCTAACCTTTGTCGCTCGTAGTGAGCGTAGATCAGCGGTGCGGACGCTTTCAAATCTGTTCCTAAAATCCACCGAGTGTCGTCAGGATCGCATGCTCTGAATGTAACTTTGTACTGGCGAGGCTTGTTGTCGTACTTGCGATCCGTGATGACGCGGTCAACTTCCTGATGACCATCCATAGATGGAGGGTCCTGCGATCGCCAGCCCGGGAAGTCGTCGCTCTTAGCTGGTGTATGTGTTGCCAGCTTCGAGGCGTGAAAGACTGGATGGACCGTCAGATGCGAGGGGATGCTGATCACAAATGAAGGGTCATCGGGCTCATGGCCCGCGGCTGGTGTTACGGGCCATGACCCAAACCACTTGGGAAGCAGTTTGCGTGAAACATCCTGTTCCAGTGCAAACTCTTCTGCGGAGACCCAAACCAGATCACCGGCGCGGATAGGACCTGGCACGCGACGCCTGTTGGCTTGCAACTGCATGCGGACTTGAGCCTTTTGCATATTCGCGCGGGCTTGAGCCAGTAATTCCCTGTACTTCCGGACGGAAGCGGGAGAGCAAGCGGCGTCGATGTCGGCTGGTCGTGGGAGGAGAAGGTCCGTGAAGATACGGCCTTTCCGTCCACCGTGATGCAACTCGAATGGAGTCACGCTGATCGCCAGGTGCACCGAAGTGTTGTAGGTGAACTCGATGTCGAGGAGGCGGTCAACCCGATCTTTCTGGTCCGGACGGATGAGCGTACGAAGCATCATTTGAGCGGTTTGATGTGCCCGCTCCGTCTGCCCGTCTGTCTATGGATGCTAAGCTGAAGCGAGTGTCGCAGTCGCTGACCATGTCTTCCGGTACACCGTGGCCACAAATCCAACCGGTGTGCAAGAGGCGTGCTAGCTCGGGAGCCGTGGAGTAGTACTTGCAAGGGAGAAAATGC